TTATGTGCAGAATGAAATGAACGATATGTACCGAGATAAAAATATACGTGCAAAAAATCAAAGGAGCTAGTCGGATGATATCAGTCGATAAACTTTAGATGTTACAGGAAGGCTCACGAGCTCAGTCTTTACAAACACAGAGCAGAAACCACTTTACTCTGTACACTTTCATAAACTGCTAAATTCAAAATTCCAGAATCAAATTCCTGCAGCTCAAAGTGAAATTTAGACTTTTAACATAATGTGCACGAGACAAATCTATAAGTAAAAACTCCTATTGTGGAGAAAGTTTGGTTTCAAATCATGCATGTCTCTGATAAAGTCAAGTAAATATGATGTTAAAGATTCATAGTGGGTCTGTCATAAATGTTATTAAATCATCTTCGTCCCCGTCCTCTCGTTACCCTCTTGTTTTTCCTCCTCCTTCCTCCCCCCCCCTCCCTCTGGGCCCATGACAGGAAGCCAATCGATGCGTCTCTTGTTTGCTCGTCTTCCTCTAATTAATTTTCTGGCTCATTCAGAACTTGTTTGTTCCTCTGCAGTCTCACGAGGTGTGTGTGTGTGTGTGTGTGTGAGAGAGAGAGTGAGAAAGAAATGGGCACGAGTTCAGGTTTTGCTTTTAGCTGGTGAGTTATGTGCGTTAGCTCTCTGACCGCTGCGTTTGTACCAAACACAAACTCTGAAATGTCCACATTTACTGCTCTTGCCAGCATCGTAATTTATTCACCAACGTCACACAAATCGCGCCCGCTCCAGTTCACAGGAAGCGTTTTCATTCACCAGTCGCTGTGCTGCGTTCTCATTTTGTTCACTTGGTTATTTGAGAATATTTTTCCACCTGCAGTTGATGAAGACGCTGTAGTTGAGTACGAGAATAGAACTCTGAAGATGAAGAAGAATTAGTCAGTCAGTGTGCTGACATCATTGCCCTGCTGAGTGAACCCAGTGACCTCCATCAGATGGTGAATGAACCGCTTTGAGTGACTGGATTAAGCAGTTCATGCCTGTTTGTGTCCCACACTTTCCCTTCCAGAGGACTCCTCTGGTGGCCCTCACTTCCTGGTGACAGCAGGCGCTCAAAGCTGTGGCACTAACGAGGGGGCGCTCACCGTCGCCCCCACCTGACTCACCTTTCTCTCACATCCTGCAGGGGGCAATCAAAGTGTAGCTTTGGGTAGCTTTGGCTTCACTCTGTCTCTCTCTCTCCCTCTGTTCTGCTGGGTGATGCGTAGACATCGTGGGTACGCTGAGGCCGGATGAGAAGGCCATAATGACCTATGTTTCCTGCTTCTATCACGCCTTCTCTGGCGCACAGAAGGTGAGCTCCTCACCCGTCAGACTCACATTAACACTCAGCGCTGCGAAGAAAAACCCTGAAATGCACCAAAGTTTCCATCGTTGGTAAAACACATTTGTTATTTAAAGTTTTTAGAGTGTGAAAAGATCAGAGGTGAAATCACAGCAACATGCTGCAATTCCAGCCCAGCGTTTATTAGATGGAAGTTTGAGCTCGCTCGATCCAACAGTTCAGCTGCACTTATGGTTTTATACACATTCAGTCAAATATTATCTGCAGAACAGGAAACTGAGCAGGAGCATGATGGGAACTTTTGGTGCTTCTGTCTCGGCTCTTTGGACATCAGCTGTTTCCCTCAAAATGCTCCAGACTTTATGGGCTGGACTTAAACTCGGCGGTCACCTGCACTGATTGCTTTCCATGCATGCTTCTGTGGGTGATTTTGACGTTTACATTTCTTCTTTCCACTGAGATCATGCACAGATTTCGATTTATGGATATCTCAGCTGGAACATGAAACGCTTTATATTGACGAGGATTCTTCCTCCGGGAAAGCGGCAAACCGCCGGTGGTCATGCTGCTGATGTGGTTTAGAGAAACCAGACCGGTCTGGATTCATTACTGTGGGAAACATTAGCTGATGTCTCAAGTTTCTTTTCAGCTATTAACACTTTTCAAACTATTCTAAATGTTTTATATGATATGACCTGTGTCTTATATTCTGGTGAAAGCATAGCCTGTAAGCTTATTGGACGAGCAGCATAAATGCAGATGTTTTGTTGTACAGTAGGTATGACCTTGAATCAGCTTATCAAATTCTGTGTTTTATATTTCAGTGGTACAGTAGTGTAATATCCTAGGCAGACGCACTGACGTGGACTGCAGCGCTACATGAACTGTAACTAGAAGCACTGATTCCCAGGTTTTGAAGGGAGATGCATGAAGTTTTAAATACACACAGAATGACTTTGGCACATTGAACTAACCATCGAGAGCTGGAGCATGTTTGTAGCAGTCATATTAAGCCCTGGTTTGACCTACATTGGCGTTTTTGCCTTATTTTAAATAACACGTGCCTAAACTTGGCTCGACATTCCTCCCTCACTGCCTGCGTGTGGAGTGTGCGCACAGATTTGAAAAGCAAACATGCGTTTGTCACAGCTGCAATGAAAGGCCAGGCTGAGGTACTAATAAGCAGCGGTAGACACTTATTTTGAAGCTCAGTTTAGTGACTTTATTATGAAGCTTTGAGCTCAGAGAGTAGACTCTGATGGAGTTTTATCCAGTCATGTCCAGCTCCACTCATCACTCTCCCTCCTAATAGGCTGAGACAGCCGCAAATCGAATCTGCAAAGTGCTGGCTGTCAACCAGGAGAACGAGCAAATGATGGAGGACTACGAGAAACTGGCCAGTGATGTGAGTATCGAAACATGCCATCTTTTACTTGCACAGCAGACTTTGGAGAAAGGAGGACGACCCGTTCGTCTGTCCTGTTTTCACCGTGCTGTCCTCTCTGCCTCCAGCTCCTGGAGTGGATCCGTCGGACCATCCCCTGGCTGGAGAACCGAACCCAAGAGAAGACTGTAAATGACATGCAGGTGAAACAGGAGGACTTCAGAGACTACCGCTGTGTGCACAAACCACCCAAGGTATAGAAAACCTCGCGTGAACTGTTCTCAGCATTTCTAAACAAAGAAAAAAGGCTCTCAAACTCCTGGATCGCCTGCCAGACCCAAATCTTTGTAGTGGAAAGTTTAATCTCATTAATCTTACTCAGTGTTCAATATTTGTTTTCTTCCAAAATAATCTTATTCTTCTTGACATTTAAAATCTGGGTTTTTAAACTCATTCATGGTGTAGCTTCTGCAGAGTGGTTGCTTGTGTCCCTGAGGTTCATCAGTGTTTGTTCATTTTTGTTATAATTGTGTCCCTCTGGAGAGGAAACAAGGAGAAATGGCTCAGAGTCTGCTGGAAAATGTTTCTGCAAATATTTTCTCACATGTTACTCTGACCTCTCTCTGCACAGAGCTTCTTCAGCCTTGTTGTTACAAGCATTTAAATTGAGGCAGAGTTGTATACTGTGTATTCACATTAACCAGTTATTATAGTGTGTTAATCTCACACTGCGTGGCAGCACGAGCCCTTTTCCCAAGACCTTATTCTATGCATTTAGCTTATAATGCTCTGATTTTATGTCTGAAAATGCACAGGTTCTCTAAACCTGCATTCTTTCCAGTGACCAGCAGGGGTTGTCTTGTCCATTTAACCTGTACAGATGAACAGCTCTTCGGCTTCTTTGCTCTGACTTCAGATAACATTTTGAAGAGTTTATGCTCTTAATCGCTGGAACCTTTGTATCTGTGGCATCGCCATATAAGAGCGCTGTGCCCTCTCACATATGAATGTTGGTTTTCCTCTGCTGAATGTGTCCAGTGACACTGAGATGTTCCTGTCTGCAGGTCCAAGAGAAATGCCAGCTGGAGATCAGCTTCAACACTCTGCAGACTAAACTGAGACTCAGCAACAGACCTGCCTTCATGCCGTCAGAAGGACGCATGGTGTCGGTATGAAACTCGCACACAGTCGATGGGAAAAGTTACACCACACTTGAAGCTGCGCGACACAACTTCATTATCATCAGTCGCAAAGCAGCCTGTCGCACGCTAACAGAGGATTTGTAAAGATTGGTGTAAAAACTGATTCAGTTATAGCTTAGTGAGTTTAACACAGTCAGTGTTAAGTTACTTTTCTGTGTTTGTTAACAAACAATCCAGCTTTAAGTTCCCTTGTAAATATTACAGCAGTTTCACACCACCTCTTTCACACTTTTCTGCACGTATGAGATGTTTTACTGTGTTTGGAGTTTCTGCTCTACAGTAACTCTTGCTGTTTGCTCTCAGGACATCAACAAAGCGTGGCACAATCTGGAAGGAGCAGAGAAAGGCTACGAGGAGTGGATCCTCAGCGAGATCAGGCGTCTGGAGAGACTGGAGCATCTGGCCGTCAAGTTCCACCAGAAGTGTGCCATCCATGAATCCTGGACCGACGGTATGTAAATTCCATCGCGGTGAAGCAAACGTCTTCACCACGCCAGAATGCTCGTCTCTGAATAAGTGAGGCTTTTGTGCATGCAGGTAAGGAGGCCATGCTTACCCAGAAAGACTATGAGACGTGCACCCTGTCAGAAGTCAAGGCGCTGCTCCGGAAACACGAGGCCTTTGAGAGCGACCTGGCCGCCCACCAGGACAGAGTGGAGCAGATCGCCGCCATCGCGCAGGAGCTCAAGTAAGAGTGGAGCCGCTAACATCTCTGACTTCATTAGCATCGGTTCCTGAACGTTCCTCGTGGCTTCTTTCATGCATAAACGCACAAAGCAGGTCGGGCAGCTCTATTCTTCATAGTTTGTGATAATTCTTTCCTTGCACGCGGGTTTGTGGTCAGCATAGTACCTGCGGCTCGCTGTGAGGTGAAACACGCAGCATCATTTGCTGCTAGCTCCCGATGGCTCTCGTCTCCACGTCAGGGTTCATTTATTCTGAGTAATGAAGCTGCTAAATATGCACAAGTCTCATTTTGGAAACTTACTGATGGTTTGTGCTGCTGCCCGAAGCTGCTGGTGTGTAATAATCGGTTCCAGCAGATCATTTTTCACAGTTGGAGTATTATTCGTTTTGTTCTCATTTGAATTCTTAGATGTACCGCCCGCGGGGCAAACAACTTTAACTTCAGTTCTTTCTTCTTTTTCTTCCAACACTCACATTATTTTCACAACTTCCTTTAACATCGTCTCGAGTTGCATTAAATCCACATTTCAGTCAGAAATGGACAAAACTACAGAGCAAAGTGGTGAAGAAGCAGCTCCGGTGTTCTTTGGAGACGCCTGTGCATTTTTTCAGAATAAAGAAGCAGCTTTGAGGCTTCTGTCAGGTCACTTTGGTTTGATCGACACAGACTCAGAGCAGTCGCCTGATGCCTTTCCCCTCTCTAAAATTTTAAACCAGACTTGACGTCCAAAATCTGACCTCACAGTCAGATGGTGTCGATTAACAGAAAGAAGTGCGTCTGAAAGTGAATCTGATCATGAGAAGTGCTCGACAAAGGAAAACCCTTTTTTCTTTTCTTCCTTTTCCAGTGAACTGGACTACTACGATGCCGCCAGTGTCAACGCTCGCTGTCAGAAGATCTGCGATCAGTGGGACGTCCTGGGAGCCCTCACCCACAAACGCAAAGAGTCACTGGAGGTACGATTCGGCCTGTTTGTGCAGCACCTTTTGAGCTTTAAAAGGATTTTGACAGGATCATCATTTGACACAATCAAATGTCAAATGTATTTTAAAATGTATTGAAATGTATTTTAATAAGGCCGTCTTCTGTTTTCTTGCCGACAGAGGACAGAGAAGCAGCTGGAGTCGATAGATGAGCTGTACCTGGAGTACGCCAAGAGAGCGGCACCTTTCAACAACTGGATGGAGGGAGCTATGGAGGACCTGCAGGACATGTTCATCGTCCACAACATTGAGGAGATCCAGGTATCTGGGAACTGGGAAGTCAAGTGGTGAATAAACAAGTGCAGCATATGAAACATACAGCGGAGGTCCGGCACTGAGCCAAAGAAACGTTCCAGTGTTTACTATTTAAAGCCACAGAGCTACGTTTATCCCACAAAAAACAGAAAACCCAGCAAACGTGTTTCTTTCCTCCTTCTCTCAGGGTCTGATCACAGCCCACGAGCAGTTCAAGTCCACCCTGCCCGAGGCCAACAAGGAGCGCGAGGCTATCCAGTCCATCCAGTCCGAGGTGCAGAAGATCGCCCAGAGCAACGGCATCAAGCTGAGCAGCGGAAACCCGTACACCTCCATCACACCTGAGAGCATCAACAGCAAGTGGGAACAGGTGAGCTGCTGTTTAACGAAGGCTGACGTGAATCATTTTAAGGCAATAAACGTGTAGCTCATTCATGCCAGAGCAGTAAACTATTAATGCTGTCTGCTGCTTTAATGACGCAGCGCAGATTTTTCCTCTTAAAAGCTTTTTCCCCGGTGAACCCTACATAGAAGAAGAACCGTTTGTCCAGTGTGTTAAAAACGCTGCCCTCTACAGGCTGAGTGAATGTTTTTCTGCAGCTGGTGCTTCATGTTTGTGCGTTTGTGTGGGTGCAGTTGTTTCTAATTCTTCTTTGTGTGCATTTGCAGGCGATGGCTATGGTGCCACTGCGTGACAACGCCCTGCAGGAAGAGCTGAACAAGCAGAACTCCAACGACACTCTGAGAGCCACATTCGCCACTCAGGCCAACACGGTTGGCGCTTACATCCAGGCCAAAATGGAGGTAACGGATCAGCCCCCACAGTCACAACGTGCTCCGCATTATGTCGAGGTTTTCACGTTTGCTCAGCTGTGTGCAGTTTGTCACTTTGCAGACACTTTGTGAAACACAGACTCACAGAGCAAATGTAAGACAGGGTGCAGGATTTACCCACAGCCTGAAGAGCTCTTCAGTTTGTAGATGTTGTATCCATGAGCTTTGTTTAGATTAGATCGTCACTGTGCATGCACACTGCGTTACTCTTCAGCATCCTTACAGAAAAAAAAAATCTTACAATCATTTGGAAAAGTTTATTTAGAAAAGTGTTTTTTGTTTTTATAAATATGTTCGAGTGTCAGCGTTTCAGGTGTTTGTGTGTTTGTGTTGGCAGGAAGTTGGCAGGATATCCATTGAAATGAACGGCACCCTGGAGGACCAGCTGACCAACCTGAAGGAATACCAGAAGAGCATCATATCATACACACCCGAAATTAACAAGCTGGAGGGATACCACCAACACATCCAGGAGGCGCTCATCTTCGACAACCAGTACACTTCCTACACGATGGAGGTAACGCAAACGCACACAAAACCTTCAGCAATGAATGAATGAAGTCTTTTTCACTTCCCAAATGAAAATGTTTGAAAGTAGGACAGCTGTGTGACATAATGTGTGCATGAGCTCTGTAACAAAACGAGCTCATGCTTTGTGTTAACCTTTGAGGACACTGTCAAACCAGAGTCCTCTCTCGCATCTCAGTTCTTAACCTCTCCTGTCAACCCCGCCCCATCACTGCAGCACCTCCGGGTGGGCTGGGAGCAGCTGCTCACCACCATCGCCAGAACCATCAACGAGGTCGAGAACCAGATCCTGACGCGTGACGCCAAGGGCATCAGCCAGGAGCAGCTGTACGAGTACCGCGCCTCCTTCAACCACTTTGACAAGGTCAGGGCCCGAGCTCTGCGCTCACCGGTTAATTATTACACCTGTTCTGTTACCCTGTTATCAAACCTCACAGTATTACAGAGTATTAGGTGTTTAGGTTGGCAGTGATACCTGAGGAGAAACCCTGTTTTTGTTTCATGTGTCGATCTAAAAATTATAAACATGAAGCGTTTAATGATTTTTACCATTACATATACAATACATGATGGTGTAGACCAGCTATGATGCACCAAGCATCTTATGTATTTGTCTGTGTAGAGTATAGTCGTTAGCAGTGGGTTAGTTGTGGTTAATTGGACTTCCTGAACAGTTTTCAGTGTGAGGATTTGGCCTCTGTTTTTCCTGTTTATTTATAATGTGACTGACTGGATGTTTAGACCTTAAATGGGGGTGAGAGAGGAGCCAGACATGTAAGTACTCATCCTGATGTTTCACTCGCGAGCACAGGCGGTGTTGGTGAAATTTAAAAAAAGGCACGGATGGTGACTGGCTTTTACCAGGAGGGTGAAGAGTGAGGAAACATCCAGTTAGCAAAAGGCTACTTGTTTTAAATCGGCTAAGAAATGCTACATTTGGTCTGAAATGTGTTATTTTTGGGTTGCACTTGGTCTTTTTCCCCTCACTGGACATGCAAACCTGCAGATGTCTGTCATCCCTTTGGAACGCTGTTTTCTGCATTTAAAAAAACTAAACTAAACCTACCAGATGTCATTTTTTGTGTTTTGTGGTGGTTAAACGTGATGATTGAAAGCTCTCAGCTGTCAGAGAGGAGGACGACATTGCCATCGTTCACCATCTCATGCCGCTCTGTGTGTGTCGCTCATTCATGCCACTATCTGACACGGTGGTCACTCACCCGTCAGTCTTTTTGTTCGTCACATCAGTGTGTTTATTTCTTGACGACACAACACTGGAACTATTCTTCGCACTCAGTACAAAGAAAGCACTTGTAGCAACCCGCTGAGCCCATTTCAGTCTTTGCATGGATGCTTTTCTCTAAATTTGGGAACATTGTGTCAGTTTTCAATAAAAACTGAATGCAGTGATTTTCTAATTATTTAAATTCTGAACTATATACATTTAAAAATGCTGCAGAGACGACACCACAGTTTTTGAAACTGAGGTTTGTTCTCACTTAAATATAGATACATTTTTTAATTTTTGAGGCCTTAACATGTATCATAATTTAATGCATAAAAAATAAGCATAAAAAGGTAACAACTGCATTAAAACAGTGGATCTCTGCGTGAAAGTCTTTTGTGAAACCACAACAGTTCATTGCTGTGTCCATGAATGCAAGCTGCTCTGGACTGAAGAGGACCGGGATCATCTGTCTTTGTTATTCATTCACGCTCGTGATTGGTGGAGATTAAAAAGTGACAGTTTGTGAACATCACAGCTCTTGAGTGGGTGTGGGGGTTTGTGTATGTGTGGCGACATTGTCTAAACATCCATAAATGTGTGTCCCTTCGTCCTCCATGTCTTCATCGTCTCCCTGCATGCTGTGGATCTCATGGTCACTGTCCTCCACCGCCACCATCCCTGTGTTACGATTGGTTCATCCTCACGATGCGATGCTCTGTCATTGGGTGTTTGGCTGATCTCAGGACCACAGCGGGGCCCTGCAGGCCGAGGAGTTCAAGGCCTGTTTGATCAGTCTGGGCTACGATGTGGAGAAGGACAAGCAGGTAGGAGCTCAAGGATTGGACGGAGGGAGAGCCGGCGTCATCGGCGTCTGAGCAGGAGTGCAGAGATCACTGCCAGCCACATTCAGCCAATCACAATCGATGTTTCTTTTACTGATTTTATACACTGACATATAGAAGTCAGACAATTCAGCATCTAGCAACATTTGTAGCTTAATTGATTTTATTTTTTCCACACCGGCTACAAATGGTTGATGTTTTGAAGCCATAAAAATTTGCATTGCAAATAAAAAAAAGTAACCAGAAACAGCCTGAAATAGACAAAAATGAAAAGAAACTATTTCGACATTATTGCATGAAATAAAATTGGATAAGCAGGTTGAACAATTACAGTATTAATAATTAGGTCAACTAAATGAGGTTTCTATTTTTGATGCTCTGTGGCGTGATGAAGTGTAACTGGTCAGTGATCAGTCGGTGCTCCTGCTCAGAGCCTGCTGCCGTGCTCTGCGTTCAGGCAGGGTTCAGTCCATCGGCATGGAGGTTCGTGGAAGTGTTGCGTCCCTGTTTGTCCACCGGGGGTCTCTGTTGCTTTGTGCTGCTTCAGCTCACTCTCTGAACGGACCCCACCCCTCAGCTGTCTGTCTGCCCGTCAGGTTTTTACTTTGCTGCGAGACTTTCTGTTAACTGTTTGTGCTTTTTATGGCTTTTTTCTCACTCACTCACTGTTTGATCTCAATATTTCTGTCCATCCTTCACTCTGCTGCTCTCTCTCTGTCCCTCGTATCTCTCTGACTCCGTCTTTGTCTACTCACCACCTCCTCCCTCCGACCTATCCTGTGCTGTGGCGGCCTGCAGAAGCGATCAGGACAGATGATGTCAGATGATTTCCGGGCTCTACTCATTTCTACAGGAAACAGCCTGGTACTGCTGCTGGCATGAAGCTCTTTCAGGGTGTCTGCAGGTCCAGAAATATCCTAATGCAGTTTAATTAGTCACAAGCTTTGAAGCACCCAAAAGAAGCAGTTAAGGATGCTCTGTGTTTTTGCTTTCACCTGAATCAGAGGGACAGGATATGGATATGGAAGCTAGAACTTTTTGATTTATTCCATTATATTCTCGTCCAAGTCGGGCTTTGTCCCCTGTGGGAGGTTTAGCCTCTGACAAAATCAGTCCTGTTCATATTTTTATAACATTTAAACCAGGAAGTGAAACTCGTAATTCAAACAAATGGACCCAGGCAGGCAAATTATTGCTCAGTATTTCTAATTATTACTAATATTTTCTGTTTGGATATTTTGTGGATTTGCATGTGACCTGATACCTGCAGACACCCTGTGCTCTCCCTCTGATGCTCTCACTTCCTGTCCTTTTATGTCACATGTGTCACTTTAACATCCTTGATGATCAGTACTAACTGAAGGAAGCTGATGTTTTTCATGTAGACCATCCAAATTACTCTTCACTGTTTTCTCTTCGTGTCGTCATTTGTCTGTTTTTTTCCCTCCATCCCAACCACATATTGGGACTCCCATCAGGACTTTAATGGTAGTCCCTGTATTTTACATGCTTACAAACTGCAGGGGTTTTAGTACTCTTTCTGATTCCCAGACAATTCCAAACGGTGAGGCTGTCCCCTCATTTTACAGAAATCTATTCACTTTTCTGTCCCTTTTTGGCCATTTGAATAAAAACTGACTTAAATATGAAATAAAATGACCACAGACTAACCTCTGGCTGTGGCTAACGCCTCTTCAGTTTGCTCCTGTAACTGTGCGTCTGTTCCCTGAGTTCAAAGCGCAGTCTCTTCTGGGTTAACCTGTAATTTGTTGATGCCAGGGCGAAGCCGAATTTAATCGCATCATGGGTATAGTGGACCCCAACGGCAGCGGCGCCGTCACCTTCCAGGCCTTTATCGACTTCATGTCCACGGAAACGACCGACAGGGACACCGCGGACCAGGTCATCGCCTCCTTCAAGATCCTGGCTGCTGATAAGGTGAGTGCAGAACGACATCAGTGCTCATTTTTGATTGGACAAGAAAAATACGGGAGAAAAGAAATGTGCAGCAGGACGCTGACCACCAGCAGAGGGAGTATTTGTGTTCACAACTACAAGTCAGCACAAGCTTGAGGTTGAATCTGTGCAGAATATTCCTCACAGGTTGATATTAGGATTTATAATAATAATAACAAGCATCAGCACTTTGGCTTTAAGCTGCATCAGCAGCCCAGATTGTCTGTGTTATGGTTCATTTAAGCACTGGCCCCTAAAACACTGAGTGATTAAAGCTTTGGAAAATCTTAGTGACTTCTATGACATCAGCTCCTCAGGCGCACACAGCCTGACATTTGGAGAAGTTTTATAGGACTTCAGTTGTATCTTGGACCTGCACGGTGCTTTAGAGCAGTGGTCCTCAAAGTGGGCTGTGCAGCCCTGAGGAAAAGTGTCCTCTTAACAGTCTGCTGTGAGAGTGTGTGTCCTCAGGATAAATGGACGAGTAACTGGGACGAACAGGCCCAAACTAACTCTGTTTAAAGATCCCAAGATATTCAAACTCCAGACTTGAACTTGTGATCTGAAATGATCCATCAAACACAAACTTGGAACTAAATAATGATATTCAGCCAATAATACGATCCTCTGTTGTCTTAGAAGATCGATAACATAACAGTTTTTCATCTCTATTAAGCCGTCTGTCATTTAGTGCTTTAGCAGTGAACTCTTTGCCTCCTGTTTCCACCAGAACTACATCACAGCTGATGAGCTGAGGCGGGAGCTCCCTCCAGACCAGGCGGAGTACTGCATCGCCCGCATGGCACCCTACACGGGGCCCGACGCTGTCCCCGGAGCCCTCGACTACATGTCCTTCTCCACCGCCCTGTATGGAGAGAGTGACCTGTAGAGGAGGCGAGACGAGGAGGAGGGCTGGACAGATGGGGGGAGGGAGAGGGAGGTAGAGGAGACGCCGTGAGTCGAGCGCTGGGAAGAATTTTGAGTGGTGGTCACGATGTGCCCCTGCGAGTGCTGGTTTAGAAATCGTTAAGAGCTTGCTGATTGAGCTGTAGTTCTCTTGGTTTGGCCTCCAGCCCCACTGTCACAAAAGGATGTTCAGCATCAGTTTGTCATAAAGGTTTATTTGAACGGGCACATCTGGGGGCGTCTGTGGGACGGGGGGCAGAGTTGCTCTGTAGTGCGGGTCCTTAGCTTCACCCTCTCTGCCTTCATGGGGTTTAAACGGGGAGGGACGGGGGTTAGGATTATGGGGGGGGCACAAGCTAATCTGATACTTATGCTAATTTTTGTTTATTTTATTATAATTTTTCTTCTTCTTGCCGGGCGGGGGTCCAGGCCGTGTGTGAGGGGGGGTTTGATGTGGCGACTGGCAAGTTTGTGTATTAGATCCTGGAGAGATTTATGCTGCGGGGTCAGGGGTCAGAAGGGTGGGATGGAGGGGCGGGGGAGTTGACCAACCAGAGATAAAATGACCTATTCACCCATAATTCCCACGTTGCTGGATAAGGTGACCTGTCTAACCTCAGCTCTTTTCCTCTTCCTGTCTGCGTTTCTTTTTTTCCCCCTCTTTGTTTTTTTTTTTTTCTTTCTCATTCGTTTTCTGGACCAGGTGGGTGGTGGGAGGTGGGGGTGGGCGGGGCTTAGTGCTGTACATACTTATTTTTTCAGTCTGAAGAATGACACACACAGAGTCCCAGCCGTTGAGAGTAATCAACCGCAGGCCTTTCAGTAGGGCAAAGTAGACATTTATTATTAAAAAGATAATAAAGAAAATGAAACAAGAAAACAGAGAAATTTAAAAGCAGTTTCACCAGTGGATAGGGTTGAGCTTCCAGAAGTCTTTTCTTCAGGTTTTACTTTTTAATTTTGGCCAAACTAACCATGGAAAAGTTGACCTAAAGGCCTTCTCCTGTATAAAATCCATGATGAGCAACAGCATAATAATTACAAATATCTGCTTCTGTGAAATTATTCCTCTGTTAGGCATCGGGTGCTTGTTTAAGTACGAAAACCTCACATTTATATAAAAGTTTAGACTGTATTACTCAAAGTTAGTCGAGTTTCATCTACCTGGCATACATACGCGGGATGTCACGGATCCGTTTGATTGGCCGAATGAAGGTTCGTGAGGGGGAAGGTGAAAGTATTTGATAGATAAGCGTGCCTGTTGGTGGCTACAGCCCTGTTCCCTCCTCTATCTCTCTCCCCCTCACTTTCTCCCCCCTCCTTCCCCTCACTTGTCTCTGAAGAGAAGTACAAAAATCACTGCTAAGGAAGGAGGGAGGGGAATGTTTGGGGAGTCTCTGTGTAAACATTCCATTGTACGCAAAACGAAGAAAAACTTTTTAAAAAAAGGAAAATTGTTATGTAAAAGAACTATGCAATCATATTGTGCGCTCAATATCTGGGGAAAGCTGTGGTCATCAAACCAGGTCCCGCCTGAGTTTCCTGTCAAAATTAAACGGAGGACAAGTGATTTCTCCCGTCTTCGTGGGAGAGGAGGGGGAGCAGACGGGAAGGAAGCGGGAAGAGAAGACTCGGACCAAAAGCTTGTTTCTCTTTTTCATTCTTTTTTTCCCTGCGAGGTTGTAAAGAAATGAACTCTGGAATTGTGATTTTGTTTCTTTTTTTTTTTTCCTTTTTTGTACTCTTTAATATCAAACCTTATCTGCTGTACTGGAAACTGCAACGCCTTCTGTCTCTAATGATAAGTGAGTTTCACAAAGCACACATAAAAAGTTTCCTTACAAAAATACCTGCGACTGTCTTCATGTCTCGTTCTTGTGCGTGTCTGTGTTTTTAAACTTGAGATACAAAAGAGCAGATTTTCTCTTTAACTGTAAAAAGGAAACTAATCTCCAGCTTTGTACTTTGTGATAATCTTTGGTTTGTTGTAGCGTTACCAAAGTCATTAGGCAAATGTAAACAAACTAAAATGGGTCTTCAGTAACATCTTTTACACTCAGAGTGATTAAGGCATGCTGTGGTTACTGCAGCAGTTTTTGTTTGCTGACCAATCTGAAGGAAACATCATCATCCAGCACAATTGGGCTTATCCAGGTGACTTTCTTCAAGTCCACAGGAAATGTCCACTTAACCCTCAAAATGACCGTGATAAGTTAGCCAGTGGGATTGTTTGAGCGTTCATGAATTACTGAGAACCTGGAGTCAATGCAAAAGACTGCAGAGGTGGAACATTTAAATCACATTAAAGCTTGTAATTACAAAATAAACCCCGAATTTCACATGTACATTAACTTCCCATTATCCTCACCAAGAGGCCAATAAAAATACAAAGCTCTGAAAGTTGAAGACTAAAACATTCATGATAGTATACACTTTAAAGATAGTATACACGTCATAAAGCTCTCATAAATGCATTACTCTGCATGTGCTGACTCTGCAGAGAGAATATTTAACGAGAGATGATATGAAAGTAACAGAACGCCAGAGAGCCACACTGCTAGGTGGTGAGAATTACAATAAAATACAAATTATAGTCATGCGTGCAGTTTAGGACACGTGAAGTGCTATTACATGATTCCCAGCCAAGTTCAGCCCAGCAGCCAGTGAGGCTTTCTAATATAAATACGGAGTTGATACCATTTGAGTCATGCTCGGCCTGCACAGAGATTTTTGTGGGCTAAAGGAAATATTGGTACACTTCATCCTCTGTGCCAGTAGCACTCACTGAAGGGAGACAAATGAAAAGAAAAAGAAACCCACAGCACACAGGCATGGAGCTGCATTCTTCCAAAACACCAGTAACTTGGTGTTTTGGGTGCTGAGAGCACAATTTAACATGTTTGTGCGCAATCTATCGTAGGTGTTCAGACAGGTAAGAGAACGGATCATGGGATTTTATATAGTTGTTTCATGAAACAATGTTTGTTCTTCTTAAAGTTCAATGATCCATGATTGTGTTACTATTTTTAACGTTTTCACTTAGGAAGTTGTTTTTTTCCCTGCTTGTGATGTTTTTCCATTTAGTGAATTCCTCCAATTTCAAATTCATAACTATCTTTATACTTAATGTTAGAAGTGCAAATTTTTTTACTGCCTCCAAAAGATGAAAATCTGATCAAGTAAAAAAAGTAATAAAATCACTTAATTTAAAGTAGTACCGATCACAAGCTACTTGTTTATTTTAAATAAACGCATTCACGCAGCATCTCCATATGTGTCCCAATCAGTGCACTGAAACACGGGCGTGTGCGGAGGGGAAACGGGGCGACACCTTTCAATACTTTAAGCATATATATTGATGCTAAATCTTTTGTACCAGGAGGATATACAGGATTGTAAGTTAACTTGGGAAGAAATCTTTCTTTCACCGCTTTGTAGACCACTCTACCATTTCAATAATACATCTGTATGAGGGCACAGGGCTACACGGGAGCTTGAGAATCATACATATCACAAAAGTTTCTAATAAAATCTTTTAATCTAATTTAATTTTAATTTATTCATTTTAAATGCTGAAAATACCCCAGACCCCTTAACTTTAGAGGGGCTTTGGGTTTTTCCTTTAATTTGTCTCTCCTTCGTGCACACAGATGTTCATGCAGTTGTAAAAATAAACACATTTTTCTTTTGTTTATTTGAGTCTAAATTATTTCTTGAACTTTCAGAAGTGGCTCCAGGTGTTGTGAGAGAGACTGGACTGGATTTACAAGCGTGTAAGTTTGAGAGCTTTGTGCTTCACCCTTTGGATTGCGTTAGCGTTTTTGGCACGAGGAGAGCGGAAATGGGCAGTACACTTTGGGAAGCAGAGGGTCTCATGTGCGCGTGCTGAGCCACACTCCTCGGAGGAGCTCGCGACCACTTCGCAGCAGCATGAGGACGTGAGCAGGTCGGAAGGAGCGGCTCCTGAGTCCCGACGTGCCTCTTCTCTTCCTCCTCGATCACGCCAGCGCGCTCAAACTGTGGCCGGCCTCAGCTCTGAAACCTCAGCACACCAGAGAGCCAGCGGCGCGCGGCCGCTCCGCGTGTGCTCCTCCGTGGCAGCAATGATGCTCGCGCTCACCTTCACCTGCCGCGCGCTGCTCCTCTTCTTGCTCTCGGAGTCGGTTCAGACCGACAAGACGGCGGTAAGACCGGAACTCTCATTTCTCTGGCAGTTCTGTAACAGCAGCGGTGCAGGCGCAAACATGTCTGGAAAAATAAGGTTTCGCTTTATCTAAGCGCGTTCACGGGTCACGCTAACGTTCCTGATTGGACACAGCGGTTAATGCGTTACTGGACTAATGGACCTGACCACAGTTATAATAATGTGTTGTTCTGTTCTGCTTAGACTTTCCTGTACATTCGTGTCTGTCTTGTCTTCGATCCTCAAACTAGTAACTGTAACCTAGTTTAGAATAAGTGGGTTAGTTTACTTAATTTTTTTAAACTTGTACACATTTGGACAAAAACAGTTTCCCGTAAACAGAAACAAAATCTAAAGGTGTATTTTTTGAGAGTATTTTTTATTTTGAGTATTTTTGAGAAAAATAAACTAAAACTGCAGTAACGTTATGTCTGTCTAAGAGCTACCAAAGTGAGTTGTATCACATAAACAACACACGTTAAAGATGAAAAGTGAACAAAACTAACCGCACAGCAGGATTTCATGTGATGTTATGATACAGTCAGATCCTGCAGCTTTTAAATAGGATCTCAAGAGGAAAATGTATAAATTTATAATTGATGCACATTTAAGCAGATCACTTCCACCTTACAAGACTCACAAAGTAACCTTATATTAGACAGAATTATCAGCTCCTCACAGGTGAATGCAAAGGACAGAAAACAGATCAAGTGCAGTCATATAAATATCTTTCAACCATAATCAATGACATACTCAATTTTCATGAGAATTGCAAATCGGTCAGCAAAAAGGTCGCTGCGCCTTTACAGCCTCAGGAAACTCGATCATTTTCACACTGACTGAACAATTTGAATTTTCTTTTATCGTTCTTATATTCAGTCTGCTTTATCTTTTTGCTTGGTGGCATGGTTCGGTCAGACCTGAATCGGATAGTGAGATGCTCCAGTCGTCTGATAGGCGAGTCACAGCCCTGTTTAGCCTCCCTGTACTCTAAACAGGTACGACAGATGGCTTTATCAATTCTGAATAATGGTTCCCATCTTCTATGGGGTGAATTTTTCTTTTTAAATTAAAGAAAAAGTTTCTTTTATCTTTTATACTTACCAAATATGTGTCTATCAGGTTTAAATAGGCCTGTGTGTTAGTGAAGGGATGCCAAATGCTATCATATTTCTGTAAAGAAAATTTGCCTACGGGTATAAATAAAGTAATTTTGAAGGAGGGCAGGACAGCAGATCATGTCCATGATGCACACTTTATTAGTTACACCAGGCTAGTACTGGGTTTGGTCCATATTGACATGGCACAGTGAGCTTGTTGTCATGTTCAAGAAACCTGTGTTTTATGGCATGGTGTGTTATCCTTAAGTAGCTGTCAGAAGATTTTATCTGGTCGTAAATGGATGGAAATGGTCAGCAGCAACACTCAGGTAGTATTAAGGACCCTGAAGTGTGCCGTGAAAACATCCCCCACACCATTACACCTTTGCCACCAGCCTGAACTATTGATATGAAGCAGCTTTCCTTTTGTTTATTGTTGACCCTACCATCTGAATGTTGCAGTAGAAATTGAGACCCAACAGATCAGATGACATTTTCCAGTCTTCTGTTCTTCTGGAGAGTTTTCTGCTCTTAGCTGGCAGGAGTGACGTCTGCTGCTTTAAGGTCCGATGTACTGAGTCTTCAGAGCAGCTCTTCTGCACACCTTGATTGTAACAACTGGGTGACTTTGAGTTACTGTTGATCTGAGCTTCCTATCAGCTCAGAGCGCTCTGATCATTCTCCTCAAACGTCTGTCTTCAAAAAAGTGCATCACTGGATGTTTTCTCTTTTTTGGATGATTCTTGTTCATGTTTGTTCCTTTTGTGAAAGGTCTGTGAAATTAATTCATCATCAGGTGGAAAAACAGCCATTATTTCAGATATGTTTGTAAGGTAGTTACTCAGTATCTAACCCGGACTCTGGCCTAAAAACCTTTAAAGTCAAAAGTTTATCAAGGTAATAGGTACAAGCCATTTTTAAAAACGTGCATTTATGAGGCATTTAATAGGCCATTACATTTGATATGAAAGAGGATTGACTATATTCCATAAAAGTTGTTGGCGAGCTTCTTGGAAAATTGCAGGTCTTGGGTGGAACAATAGTATTAAAGACTTTAGTTTTATTGCTTTTGAACTACTAGCCTTGAGTTTTATTCACATTTGTATGTTTCATGCAGATACCAACAACCGTAAGATTTAGTTTGATTTGTTGGACTTTAACAGAAAATATCTGCATGTGTACTCACAAATTAGCTGCTTTTGTGAAAGAGTATCATTCCTCTAAAGTGTAAAGGTTAGTTTTCTCAAAGAAAAGTAAACCAAAGTCGACCCCTTTACACCAAAATTCTACCCAAGCTTAAATCTTCCAGGAGGACCAAGTTAAAAAAACACAAACGGAGCTGCAGCGGCAACAGTGCTTTTAGTGTGGGTAAGAAAAAAACTCTTGCAGCTGCTAAATGTTAAAAAGTGTTTTATCTGTGTAATTGAGTATTACTGTTCAGGGACTGGCCACTCACAGCAATGCCACAGTGGGTCTAAACTGTCTGGTTTTATCATCTTCATAATCGCTTTAGTCAAAGCGAGCAGTCGTGACACGGCCTCAGAGGAGCGTTTGTATTATTCTCTTTATTCTGGCCCACACGATGTTTATATTCAGCACAAAGACATTCATTAATCGGGTTGATTTAGTAGTTGTCCAGGGTTTGTGAGAGCTCCCTGGAGAGCAGGAGGGTAGGACCAGCCAGCAGGACCACAACACAACACACCACACCACACACACACACACACACACACACACACACACTGCACTGCGCTGCCAGGCAAATATTTAAGCTGCTACTCATGGGAGATAGACAGGTGTGTGTGTGAGAGAGAGAGAATGAAAAACAGCCCCAGTAATCCTGCCATATATTTTACAGTGTGCTAGACAAACATCAGCTATACACTGTGAGTGCGTGTATAAATATTATAGAACATGAAATATGGCACGCTGACTAAAGTCACTGCACACTGCCAGAGGCACTCTGAATAGAAATACTTCAGTGCTAACATGGGGGGTAAAAAACAGAGCAACAGTGTTACGTTCTAAAAACTACTATTTGGAATAAAGAAATAATGCAAGAGGCCAGCTGGAAGTTTACCTGAAAATACCATTTCAATGTTTCTGACTACTGGTATTCCTATTCAGCTCAGTACAATTCAGTTTTACTTATATAGACTCACACACCAGTCATTTAATACACCAGTATTGGAGAGAGAACCTCAGGAGATCTCCAGTGAGAAGCACTTTTCTATTTCAACTGGTTGAAAGTGGAGATAGAGAAGAAGTGCAGAGAGAGATTAAAAACAACAAACGGCTTCGTTTTCAGGAGTGAAATAAAAAACAGATTGGCACTGATGGCCTCTTTCCAGATGTGCAAACTGCCAATTCCATGCATGCCTTTTAAACCGAGCACTGATAACGAGCCACATGATCCCTCTTCTCTTTAGGCCAGAGGACACGGTGTCCATGTTTCAAAAGAAAACAAAAACCTGTTTGATTATTCTGAACAGTTTTCCACTTTGCCTGAGTCCATTTGAAATGAGCTTTGGCCCAGCAGTGTTTCTGGATCATGTGCACGTACGGCTTCTTTGCATGGCAGAGCGCTACCCTGCATGTGTGGATGGAGAGGTGCACTGCAGATGATAAACATTCAAGCCTTCATAGTTTTACATTGGGAAGCAATGTTTTGAAATTGTTCCTCAATTTTTAGATGTGTTTTTTGTCGACTGGTCAATCTCTGTCCATGTTTACGT